AGGGGGGGATGCGGTTCCACAGAGAGGTTTCGAAGCCACTGAGGGTGGCGGCAGGGTCAACTAGCGGGGAGTCTGGGGCGAGGGAAGAGGCAGCTTCTGACCCCCCCTGCAGGCGGGGGCGATGAGCACCTGCTGCTGCTGTTGTTCACCGAGGGGCCCCGTGGTCGGCCGTGAGAAGGCGGCTTCTCGTTGGTCCGTTATACATTTATTGCCTCGCAACGTAGTCCGACGGCAGCGGGAGAGAGCGCCCGGGACCCCGTCAGCTGCTCCAGGCCTCGAACGCCACCTCCGAGCCCAGCAGCTGGACCAGCTCCGGCTCGTAGCGTACCAGCTCCACCGTCTCTACGGTGCCCGGAGCCAAGGGGGGCACCAGGTGCTCCTGGATTTCTTCGGCTGCTAGCACTTGGCTCGATGCCACCTGGCGCTGGAACTCCGCCTTGGGCAGGGTGGTCACCTCGAAGTGCGGGAAGCGAGCCTGGAAGATCCGGGACGAGAGCTTGAGGCGCTTGAGCACGTCGGAGAAGAGGAACCAGTTGCAGGGGCTGGTGGAGAGAGGAAGAGTCAGGGCCAGAGTCAGGGCGTGTTGTCCCCCCCCCCCCGATGCTGCCCCCCATCTCATCATCCCCCTGGCGCTGAATTTTTTAAAGGAGGAACACCAGGGCAGAAGTTGCATCCCCTGTCGTGGACGGAAGCCTTTTGCCCTAATCCAGATGTGCAAAAACCTGCCTTCGCGAGGATTCTGTAGTGAGAAATGCATGCAGCACCTGTAAGTGCTTGCAGGGGGAAATGTGCTGAAGGGCCCAGCCCCAAGTCCAATCCTCTTCCTCCTTGGAACCTGCACACCACAGTGAGCAGCAGTGTTCCCTCTAAGCTGAGTCAGTGTGAGCTAGCTCACAGTTTTTTAGCCTCCGGCTCACACGTTTTTGCCTTCGCTCAGGAAGGAGGGCTCCAGAGCAAACTGATTTATGCAGCAGCCAAACCGCCTGCTCACAGTTATGCCAGTAGCTCACAAAGTTGAATTTTTGCTTACAAGACTCCACAGCTTAGAGGGAACATTGGT